AAAAATCCAGCTTGTAAATACTAATTTATGTTGCACTAATTCTTATTTCCTCGCCATTTTTACCCTCAAACCAGTCAAATCTTTAGTCCCTAAATCCAATATGGTGATGAAAATAAAAGTACCTAAATGTCCTCCATTTTTGCCCGAGTTAACAAAAAAAAAAGAAGAAGAATATTTTTGTCTAAATTCCGAAGAATAACACCTTAAAATAATAATTCCCCTAATAAAATGTATTCAATTAAAAAACGCTATTACCATCAATTTTGTAGGTAACGAAGAGACAGCAACAAATAATTTAATTCTGAAAAATTAAGATTTCAAAAAAAATAAATTAATTAATTAATGGAGGATTACGAATGCTTACTCCACAACCGGTGTCGAGCGCCGTCCGTATGGACCCGTCCCTGAGATTGATCAACTTTCCGATATCGTCGATGTAGGCATCCGCACCATTTGGAAACATGGTCCCGCCACCCGGGAATCTGAACTTGTTCCCTTCGTACCTGATCCAATTTTGCACCGCCTTTTCCACTGTCAGCTCCTTGTGCGGTACGTTATCGAACCACGCCAGATCCCTGCTCTGCGGCCACGGGAACGGGTTCTTGTATCCGTATGGCGCCGGTATCCGACATTTCAGCAACTCCTCTGTCTTCGGACAATGTCTCTCCCTGAATATCATCCTGCTCCGTTTGAAATTCGACGATCTGTCTGGGTCTTCACATGGGGTGTATTCGCTGTATTTGGCATCGCAAAGCGGGTAGGTTTTCACGGCCACCTCGTCGGAGTTCGCCGCATGGTGGGAGGAGAAATCTAAGTTTTTTGAGGGTGATGAGTTTTGGGTTGTATTACATATGATCCTGGTGGCGGCGGTTGTGGTGGGGGTGGTAGTGGATAAGCGGGTGCCGATAGCCCAGCCACCTTGTTGCCAGGCGCCGAAGAGGTAAGAGATGCCACAGAGGAAGAGAATAAGGGCTAAGGAGTAGCTTCTTTTGAAGCAGAAAGTGGAGGCACCGGTAAAGGGTTTGGAAGGTTTTCCGGTGGGATGATAAGGACTGAGAAGATTAGAGCCAGCCATGGTCAGGCTAAGCAGAAAAGGCCGATGGTTTCTTGGTTTGTCTGATTCGCCGTCTATATATTAAAGTTTAGAGCAGGGGTTTGAAGAGAAATAGGTTTAGATCAAGTGGGTCATGTTCTGATTATTGATTTCTTTAAAAAAAATATCCCATCCCTAAATATTACCATTTACTTTTAGTTATTTTCCTTGCTGTTTAAATTTTGAATTTAGAATTAATAATGTCATATAAGTTATATTATTAAATAAGATAATAAATATAATAATACAAATTTATTTTTAATATAAAATTTATTTTTTTAATATATAAAATAACAAAATTCATATTATATCATTAATTTTAAATTATTCTCATAAAATTCATTCTTTTCATCACTATTTTTATAATTTTATATAATATTTTTCATATGCAAATTAATAAATGTGACGCAAAAATTTTGAATTGTGGGTTGAAAATAAGAATCATAATGAAATTACATAATAAACTACTCGTGTACTTTTACCTATACCTTGTCAAATAATTTTTTAGTACTTCCACATGAATATGAATCGAAAAATTTCAGAATTGTGGGTTGAATAAGCTGTGGAAATGGGGATATGTGAAGTGTGGTTATCTCTATGTGGGGAAGGAGGTTTTTTTTTTTTTTTTGGGTTAAAAATGGAAGGGAGAGGAAATCACAGCTGGATTAAGAAGTAGGAAAAGGAAATTTTAATGGGTTTAATCTGGATTACTTAAAACAGAGACTTTGAGATCTGGAAGAAGGGGGGCCAGTTGAATCCTGTCTAGTAAACCATTCCGAGGTACAATGTCAAGTGGACTTAAAGAAATTGAGCAATAAAAAAATTTATATTTAGAGGTGTATTTTATTGGTCCCTGCTTTGCCATCCAACAAGGATTGTCAATTTTTTTTTAATGGCTTATCTAGTAGTGTCTCCTATTTTATGCTATAAATAAGTACTTAGCATCTTAGCTTAATAGACCATAATACCCTTAACTTTGCTAATGACTAGTACCGAAATGGGGGAGATGCTATACTTACAAAGTAAGTCATGATGTGTATTGAAGATATAATATTAAATAAATAAATAAATATAAATTAAGTAAATCATAAATAACAAAATTAATTACATAAATTTATTAGCAAAATGTTTTTGGGTTAATACTTTTTCGCTTTACCTTTAAAAAATTAGGCGGAAAAAAGATAAAAATCACCTTAATGCATGTTTTAAAAATAAAA